AAATTTAACAACGTTTGTTTGTTTGTTTTGTTTTTCTTTTGTTTAAGGTGCGGAAAATTACTTCGGCTAGAGACTTTCTACGCGCGCCTTATTTTATGTTTTCAAAAAATGTTGTATGATCTATTTCATCGCGTAGCGTGGACGTTTTGGCTAGTACGCAAATGTCAGAGACCGCGATAGATATTTTGTATCTAACGACCGCCAAAGTCAGAAGTCATAAGGGAGTCTGGACCTCCCCCAGGAAATTTTGAAATAATAACTCTTGGAAATGCGATTTCCATCGTTTTTGAGAGACAACGAGAGCATAAAAAGGGACTGATTTGATGTGAACTTTTCAGTAATTCCTGTGAAAATTTAATATTTCCGTGCCACTCGTACACACGTGCTTATATATGCGTAAAGGACGCTACGCGCCTGCTATTTCGCCAAAATATCTAGAAAATTCATTATTTATTGCTTTAATAAGGTTGCTAGGCCAACACTCGGGCTGCTACAAAAAGGAAACATTCTATGCAACATTTCTATGAATTGATTTTCAATAGACATTTATCAAAGCAAAATGGCATTTTTAAATAATTAAAATGGTTGAGAAAATGGAATCAAGTTGGTCGAATTTTTCACAATAACGACTAAGAGTGTCAAGAAGATACCTCTTAAATTAATGGACCGATATGAATATTCAGTTTCGCCTCCTTTAAGAAAATGGGCTCACCTGGCATTCATTTCTTTGCAAAAATACATAGTTTTTTAAATTCATTCTCCGCCAAATTTGAGTWWTATTTCTTCGAATAACTACAACTTTAATTCGTAAATTGTCATTAATTTTTAGCTTTGCTTTTTTCTCTTCTATATGTTTTTACAATTGTATTATTTATCAGTTTATCTTTACCTTAGGCTATATGGCTGCAAGTTAATTGTCATAAAATATATCTATCTATTCTAGTGGAAGTTTTTCAGATCGTCAGCAAGACAAGAAGACTCCCTATGGCCTTGAGCAGACACACGAGTTTACTTTTGAGATGTTGTTTCGTATTTGCTTTTTGCATAATAATTTATAAGGCTTATTATATTGTTAACATACGAAAGGTAAGTAATAACATTTAGATAGAATACTAGTATATAAATCTTTTCCTGTGCATTAGAAGTCATATATTTTCCGTTTTTTCGTTTTCTAAAACACGTTGAAATGTTCTAATATAAATAGTCGAAGTGACAATTTGGTTTGGTAGGCAAAGTCTCGCTAAATATCAAGGGCCACTTCGCGCAAAAAGATCAGACATAACTTGGCAAGGCACGAAAAATCAAATATATTGATATTTTGAAAATGAATAAGATATGATTACATAACAATCGCTGTGTAATTGTTTTTTGAAATTATTTCGTTTTTCGCAAGAAAATCACTAAACAACGTCACATACTGCGCCTTTGCGTGCTTTCAAAATAGCCAAACTTTCTACTGACCTTGTCTGAAATTTAAAATAGTAATTAAAAACAAATGAGTTGTAAATAAATTGTGGCTTTCTAAAAAAAACTCTTTCTGATTTTTTTTTTTTCGTTGTTTTTCACGAAAATTTAACTAAGAATTTTTTTTTTCTGGAACTCAAGTGCATATGCAAATTAGTACCTTAAAAATGATCAATTTTTTATGTGCAAGTATTTTGTTTGCAATGAAATTCGGAGTGATTACTAAGCATGGCATAACCATGACTCCGTGATGTCACTTCGATGAAATTTTTTGTTGAAATACGCGATGACATAAACTTGCAAAAAAGCGATAAAAAAGTDGAGGTCACCRGSTTCAYTTTAGAGATAATTCTTGCACAAAATCACCAAAATTGTCAAAGAAAAGCGCGCGAAAAGTGTTCGATGCCGTCTGTCAAAAAAGTTCCCAAAAAATATAAAACACATATCAATTAATCCAATTTTTTCCACAAAAGCTGAGGTCGATAATTGTTAATGTTAATTACGAGACTTTGAAACATTACATGATGTGATTTCTTATTCCTTTAGGATTTTTGTCGGTGTCAAGCCGCCACATTCGACGTCAATAAGAGGTGTCATTTCCAGCTAAAACTGCTATATTTCAGAAACCTCTGTTGTCGTTTTTTCCGCTTTCACATATGCTATATTTTTTCCAAGTAGCCTTCTTTTAAGATAAACAGAAATTGCAGGGTTACCGGGTTCGTTGTGGAGACATTTCGTGTCGAAATCTAAGATTTTGCAGGCCATCTTGAATTGCGAGAGACTTTTTTCTGCCAGTCTACGACTTTTGAGAGCATTTTGAACACTTTTTCGCCTCATCAATTCTTTAGCAGTAGTAAATCTCCCATTTTTTGAACGTGAAGACATTTTGCATACAAGTAGAAGTTCAGAAAAGTACGTACAAAACCACACAAACACATAACAACAGCGGTCGCCATCTTTGCGTGCGCAAAGCAATACCCTCGAACGTCCTTAAAAAATATAATTAAAACGACGCGCGTGTTTCTGTCCTCTGATATAAACAAGGTGGAAGTTCGAAAAACACGAGAGAAGCAAGCTTATAAACACGGTTGTCAGCCAATCAAAGCGCGCGTTATATATCGAAAATTTTATAAAAAGAAATAAAAACCAGTGTGCGAAAATCAATGTCAGGTACGTAGATGACCTATTCTAGTCACAATTATCAGCGTAAACACRTATTTTGTAAGTTGTATTAACCGATCAATTTTCAAAGCTTATAAATTTCATAATCAAAATGAAATGTATGTTATTAAAATACCAAGAGTTAAGCTTATTTTCTTCGAAAAATTTTGGGAATTTAAATGAATTGCGGTTGTTTAAAACATTTGGTGTTTCAACTGATTATTATATATATTGATATATTATGCATTTGAGAAATTCAACTCTTGCTTAGTATTCACGCCAAATTTTATTGCAAACAAAATACTTGCACATAAAAAGGTATATTTGTAAAGGTACTAATTTGCATATAAAAATACATAATATGCAAATACTTCGATACTTTTTGATAGTTTTCCTTATTTTCAATGAAATTATAATAAAGAGTTAGTAAAAAAGCAAAAATTTAAATTTTTAAAATACCTTTTTTTGCTTTACATGAATTCGCTATGAAGTTTGGCTATTTTGATAGCTATTTTTAGCAATCAAACATTTATCACGCAAAGGCCGAGCATGAGACATTGTTTGGCGATTTACTTGTGAAAAATGGAACATTTTCAAAATCCAATTACACAGCGATTGTTGCCTAATCATAACTTATCAATATATACAAAGTATGAATGGATTTGAATTTTCGAGGCTTGCCAAAAATTTATAATTTTATCTGGTTTTACCCGATGCGGCTCTTAAATCGATGTTAAATAAGCTGTTGAATTCCTATTCTGACAGGCTCAATAATTCCAAACGTTAGATACTACAAAAATGAGTTAATTGGCCAGTTTTGAAGGACTTACTTCATCTAGGGAGAAAGTAAAGCCCTTGTTTAATTCTTCATACATTTCTTTGTATTTTTGACGGGCGTGAAGCGCAGATGACCCCGACAATTACAAAGAAATGTATGGAGAACTAAAAACGAGTTTACTAGCTCTCTATATCAACTGTATCCTTGTTATTTTGCAAGACTATGCCTACCCGAACAAAATGGTGTCAAAACCGTCACCTCAACTATTGAAAAAGTTTATTTTTTTCACCTATATTAGTAAATGTGCGCGTTATATAATTGGTATTTTTTATAAGTGATATTTAAAAAAACGAGTAGGAGTGTTTTATCGTGAGATATAAACACGAGGCCGAAGGCCGAGTGTTTATATCCACGATAAAACACGAACTACGTGTCTGTAAATCAGTTCACGTGTCTGTAAATCAGTTACAACACTGATATTTTATGCATGAGTGTTATAACAGAACCGGTTAGTTATAAAACTCATGTTTAATTAATCGGTGTTTATAACTTGAGTTATAGATCCTGTCATGTGACCCATAGTTGAATGCTCATTGGAAGAATGTCTAATGAATAATTCATGAGTTTTAGAAGTTAGTTTGGCAATCACCCATTATGTGGTGAATGGAAAAAAGGGAAAAAAAGAAGAATTGTGTGACGCCCGCACTTCAAGGGCTGACTGTTTACGTTGCTGTTTTTCAGACGAATAGTAATCATATGGTTTTACRAGCTCTTTTCGAACCAATATAAAAACAGTCAGTCAGGGTGTGCATGTGACCAAGGCCACTAACAGCTTAACCTATAACAAATGCAGTATAGACAGAAACCTCCCGTACATTTCTTTAGTTCCAAGCGTTGGAATATTCAAAGCTCCTTAAAAATTCGAAAACGAATGTTCACTAGAAAAAATCGCGCGCTTTAAAGGTTGTAAATTTGTTGTAAATATGATGTAAGTGTCAAAAATTCTGTAAATTTGATGTAAATGATTTCCATTAAATTTACAGAATTTTGGACACTTACATCATATTTACATCAAATTTACAACCTTTAAAGCGCGCAATTTTTTTTCCAGTTGTTATGACCATATTTGGAAAATTCGGCTGTTGGCTAAGAGATTTAAGGCCCGTTCTGGTTGGCTGGGGTAAACTTAATTGTTTCATATAAGGAAATGGGGTGCAAATTAGATTTTAATATAATTCCAACTACGAGAGAGTCGACCATTACCGTCAGAACGAACCTTGTGATTAACAAAAAAAAAAAAGAAAAAAACAAACAAACAAACAAACAAAAATCAAAAACAAAAAATTGTACGATTATGTTAAACAATGCCTTCATTTTTTGTATTGCCTATCTCTCTTTGTTATTTCATCATTTAAATCACAATCTTTGTTCTAACAGTAGTGTACTTCTCCTTGAGATGATGACCATCATCAATAAACATCTTAAAAACTTATTCCTATGTTTAAAAAGATGAAATTGCAGTGTCCACTTCAGAAAACCGCTGATTTTCAGTCGTGTTAGCGAGGTCTTTTTTTATCATTTCAGCTTCCACTATTGACTAGTGTTCGGCTCTCACCACTTGATAAATCACGAAACGTGCGCGACTCCGAATGGTCAATGTACAAATCAACACAACATCCTGACGAAATAACTGTGGTTTCAGCATATTTCAACCTTGGCACATTTTTAAAGAAACCTTACGGGGTGAGAGGCCTGAAGCAGTACAAAGACTGGATGCAACGTTTGGCACAGGTGAAAAACTCTATGGTAATATATTTGGATGACAAAGAAATCATGATTTACCTGAAATCGATTCGTTCAGCCGCACTGGGAAGTTTGACCAAATTCGTGAACTTAAATCGAAGCGATTTATGGTCATTTGGAATGAAAGAAAACATAAGTAAAATCTATTCAATTCCCGGCTATCCTAAATATTATCCCTCCACTGTTATACCAGAATACACTTGTACTATGCATGCAAAGTTTGAAGTTATGAGTCACGCAGTGAGGAGCAACTTCTTCAGAACTAAATATTTCGCCTGGATGGATGTGGGATACTTTAGGAACAGATCATTGAATGACAAAGCGTTTTCTCTTGGTAGACCTCCGGGTTTTGATCCAGCTCGGATAGCATACACGGAAATGTATCCTTTTAATCCAAACCTAACCCCAAAGGAGATCACTCTAAAGTTTATAACTTGGGTGAGTGCTGGCTTCTTTGTTGGAAGAGATGATGTGATGCTGCGCTGGGTGAATCAATACAAACAATATGCTCAAATTATGTTAAAGGATGGATTGATGAACACCGATGAGACACTTATCTATTCTATGTTTAACGATAGGCGTAATAACAACTCGGTACAGATTCAAACATATAAACGCAGGAGTAAGTACCTTTGGTTTACTCTAGGCAACTTGTGCATAAAGGGTGTAAAACAACCATTATGACGAACAAACTCATTTACATCCACCATAGTAGAGCTGATTAGGTGACTAATTCTGGGGGGAGACTTAAAAAGTCACAACCAACCGTCGTACCTTGCGAGCCAAAGGATTTCTTAAGTGAGCGTGAATCGTCTTCCATCTTTTCAGTGTAGTATAGGTTACAGGTTCTCTGTTGTTTATTTGTGATAAACGTTTACAAATTCAAAAGGGCGACAAAGTACAGTGTGTAGCTAAAACAAATACAATAAACTTAACTAAGTACTTGTATATCTGAGATCAGATTCATGCTTCGGTAGCGATTATTGTGTAAATAATTATACAACAAAAGCATAATGTTCAGCTAATTACACGTACTAAATACAACAATAAAATGGATACAATTAAGAATATAAGCTAATATAAATGATTGTGTCTAGAACGATAGCAATAGAATAAATCTATGCGTAAAACTAAGCGAAAACTACATCAACCAAATGAACACGAGGTCAATACTGTATACTTAAGCAACTTGATTTTAAGTATCTAATAACAACTCTAATTGACCTTAAAGTACATACTAACAATCTTAAGTGTATATAAAATAGTATAACGTATTGCTAGAAAGCTATTCTATAAATAAGAT